CCCCCACCCCTACCTCTTAAAAGTTTTTTACATGCTTAAATGTAACAAATTTGATGGCTGACAGCAGTAAGTAAATAAAAATTAAATGTTAGTAATTTACTTTGCTTTCTAACAATGTCATTCAAGAACAATATGCTAGCACTGGAAATCACGGATATAGATTGCAAGCAAGTAGAAATGATTTTTTTACTAGTTATGTATAATAACACATTTAGTTTGAGAAAAAAATTTAAAATCTTTTAAATTTTAAATTTTTTTTTAATTTTAAATCTTTTTTAATGGCAAATAAAGACAAAATTACTTTCAAATAGAAAAGGCCTAAAAAGGCTTAAAAATATATCATAATAAATGCCAGAAAAAAGGATTTGAATAATTTTTCACAATCAAAAATATTTTGAAGTATCAGCATGCATTAACATTTTAATTGAAACTAATTTTTAATAAATGTGTTGTGTAGATAATTTATAAGTAATTAAATTATATTTTAAAACATTTTTGACCAATCTAATTTTTCAACGATATGTATTTAACTAGACATGTAGTTAAATGCTTTTGGTAATATCTCAGTTTTAAATAAGCTATTTGACTATTTAGCTTATTTACTCAACTATACTTTGATTAAAATGTTGACGGTACAGTAAACTCGTTGTTAACAAAATGTACTTAAACTATTTATGCTTTCAGCTTTTGATATTAAACGTAACCTATACTTTTTAATGATTTATATGAAAAAAAAAAAACAATGTTATTATAGTAAAAATGTTCTAAAATAAGAGTCAAAAACATATATAAATCAATAAACAAACCTATGCTCACTAATTTCAGCTTCAAGTTCTCCAATTTTATTTACAATAATTCGTTGTTCTTGACGCATTTGGTTAAACTTAGTAATTATCTGTTCCTGCGACAGCTCAGTCTTTGTCTTAGCTTTACCAGCTGCCATTTTGTTAATGAAATGTAGCGTTCCGAATCGTATAAAGGTTGCAGAACAACCTTTTATAGCGGAAACATTATCTAGGACAAGTTGCACTAAAGTCGACTTTTTACAGCCTACTTTTGATTTTTATGTCGACAAAACAAAAACTACACTTTCAGTGTAGCTTTTGTCTTATGTTTTTCGATAAAACAAAAGCTGCACTTTGAGTGTATAAGCTTTTGTTTTGGGAAAAAGTTATAAATAAATTAACTTTATTTTCATAAAAATTTTTAGTATTTCTTTTTTTTTTTTTTTTTTTTTTTTTTGTAGTTATTTTTTTTTTTTTTCAGTAAACCTATTGAATAAGAAAACGAAAATCAGTGTCGATATTAAAGAAAATTCTTATTATCTTTATTTGAAACAGGAGACTAGTAAACTATAACAACTTTGTTACTTTGTATTTTGTTTTGTTTTTTACTTAGATTTTTTTATAACCGTAATTCTAGAGTAATTTTTACATAAAACGGTTTGTTTACGTTTTTTGTTTGCATTAACGGATGATGATTGCCTTCGGGCATGAAACTCAGTTATTTTTATTCATCTAAACATATATATATATATATATATATATATATATATATATATATATATATATATATATATATATATATATATATATATATATATATATATATATATATATATATATATATATATATATATATATATATAATATATATATTTTTAGCTACTCCAAAGCGGCATGGCTTTGCGTATCACAAAGGTTGTGTTTCAAATCTGTTAGAAACTTGGGACATTATGACGAAAGTAATTCATCACAGCCTTGCAGTAGACGTCATATACACAGACTTTGCGAAGGTATTTAACAAAGTGCCGCATAAACGCTTTTTTTATAGCGCGCTCTAGACTGGATCTCAGCTTGATTACGCGACCGAAGTCAACGAGTGGTCATCAACGGCATCATATTTGAATGGAAAGCGGTCACTAGTGGCGTGCCTCAAGGCTCGGTCTTGGTCCTGTTGCTCTTCATAATCTTCATTAATGACCTTACATTTCAATATTGAGAAATGCAAAGTAATGAATGTTGGCCGCGCATCTAACAAGTTGACACCCGAATGTCCAATGACCAACGTCGACAGCACGTGTTATCCACTCGAAATGACTGAAGTTTAACGAGACCTCGGTATGATGGTCTCTAACAACCTTAACGTCATACCACATGTAAAGTTACCCGCATCAGTAACGAATAGAGTGTTAGGGCGACTCAAAAAAACATTTTGCAGTGGCATTATTTGTTCATGGCGCACACTGTATCTTACACTGTAGCTCGTATAAGACTGAGTTTAGTCTTATCATCGAGAATCTTATTTACATTTTCCCCCATTTTAAGTTTGCTGTTCAATTGTATAAAAAATTTAAATGTTTCAGGTACTACTTTTAATTTTTTTGTTTATAATGTACTTGTATTTAATTTCAAACATGATAAGTTAATGAAAGTGTTTTTACGCACCTCACTTTCACATAAAATGTTATATATATAAAAAAACACATTTCGTTTTTATTTTCATATAACATTTATTCAAACATTCCGGGGGCGATTATGCCCCCACTTCCCCTATATATATATATATATATATTATATATATATATATATATATATATATATATATATATATATATATATATATATATATATATATATATATATATATATATATATATATATATATATATATATAGGGGAAGTGGGGGCATAACCGCCCCCGGAACGTTTGAATAAATGTTATATGAAAATAAAAACGAAATGTGTTTTTTTAGCAGTTTATTTCAATAGCCACATCATAAGGCTTTAAATTGATGCATTTAAGAAAAAAATTGATCGGGTTTTGAAAATGTTATTACACAAAAATTACTCTTAGTGAAAAAAACAGTTTTGCCCCCATTGTGAGGCACAACCGCACCCTCACAAAAATCGATGGGGCTACACCTTTCATGGTACATTTTTTTTACAATTTTCACAGCTCAGATTATTTGATGATTTTGCTGCATGTTTGCATACTTTGCAGGCATTCTTTGTATTTATATTTTGATTTCTGCCCCAGAAGAGAGTTTTTAGAAAGAATTCAGTTTCATAGCTTAATTATTAGATTATGGTATTATCAACAATGGTTTTCACTTCATGAAATATTGCTGATAACACATATCTTTAACACTAAAATCAAATATTGCTTAATTCTCAAAATGAAGGTCAGGAAAAATATGATGTAAATATAATATTTTTATCAAAATAAACATTATTATTCACAACTTCTCATGTGTTATTTGTCTTTTGTATTTGTCTTATTACTTTATTTCTTTAAAAACTTTAAAGGAATAAAGTAATAACACAAATAAAAATTTTTTTTATAGGAGCTTCAAGAAGACGTAACGGTCTTATCACAGAGCACCACGGTAGAACATTTAACCATATAGTTCACCCCTCCATCCTTATTATCTGGCCAGAGCCAGCTTCGAGCCTCGAAGCTCTTGGTTCGTAGCCAAAACTCTGATTTGCTGCGTCATGGTTGCTTGTAAATTTGGTTCAAAGTATGTCACGAACGGCCGAAATAATGTTAAGAAAAATATGAGAAGAACTGCGAAGTAATTGTTATGAAGGAATATATCCCAAAATCTATGCAAATATAAGCAAAAAACGTAATAGAAAATGACAGTGCTATAACAAAACGGCTAAATTGCTATGTATACAAATGGCGTAAACACTAAATGATATATCAAAAAAACAGAATATAGGCCAGATTTTGTTTTTTTAAAAAATACTTTTAAAATACGTATGATTTGTCTATTTATTTACCGGTAATTAAAAAAAAAAAACTAAAGTCCAGAGGTTACTTTGATTCGATAAAATATCTTAAAGAAACCTGAAATCTCAATACAAAATATTTTCTTAGGCTTCTTTTAATATAATATTGGAATAGAATTCTAATTAGAGTAAAAGAAACGTTCCTAAGTAAAAATAAACTTATAGCTTGGTTTATAAAAAGTTTACTTAATATCAAAAATGCATTTAAATAAGAATTAAAAAAATGATTATTTTTTTCATTTTAATGGAAGTTTTATTAAAGACTTAGGTAAACTCGTGAAAACCGTTAGGCATTGTTAAATTTGTTCGGTTTAATAAGATAAACTAGGCATCGTTAAACTTGTTAGGATAATAAACTAGGCAACGTTAAACTCGTTCGGGTAACAAGATAAACTAAGCAACGTTAAACTCGTTCGGGTAATAAGAGAGAAAGTAGGGAAAATATTAATACTTATATAAATACTTGTAAATAAAAATAGATAAATATTAAATATTACAAAGGCTTCACTTTAAACACACAAAAAAAACAACACAAAATGATTAACTTGTTTCATATCCTTCAAAGTCATCATCGTCGCCTAACTCTATCTGATAAGGGAGACCATCGCCATTTTTATTATAACTTTGTTTTAATCGTCTTCTAATGAAGAAAACAGCGACAACAACGAATAAAACAAATAGAATACAAACGATAGGCACCAATGTTTTTATTAAGATAGTGCTAGGGGGTTTTGCTAAAAATAAAAATATTCAACATGTCACAAATTTAAACATATTTTCACAAGTTTTGTTAAAAACAAGCTAGCAAGAAAATGCGCTGAAAATCTTTAATAATTTTAATTGATCTTTTACAAACACATTTAGTTTATTAAATTATTTTGAAAATGTTTTTTTGTAAATAAAAGAAAAGCTTAAAAAAAGTCTTCTTTGAAATAATTAGGAGATATTCAAAGTTCCAATAAAAACATTCATTAAAATTTTACAGGTTTTGCAAACAAGAAAAACTGCGTATTTTAATTAAAAATTTTGTACTTACTACAAAGTTCACCTCCATTATACGAAAAGATACTTCTTACTAGTGGAAATGCATCAGTATATTCCGGATAATGCCGAAGAACCTTAATAATAGAATAATAAATAAAAATTTTAAAAGTTTACTTACATTACGTAGTCATCAAAAGACAATTAATAAACTTAATGTGATAAAGATAAAAACAGATATAAAAAAATGTTGCGTTGTAAATATAACTCTTTAAGATATAAGTAAGAGATATTTTGATTTTTCTTAAAATTATTTTATTATTTTTATATTTGATATAAATATTTTACTTCAATATACATACATTTTTAATGTATTTAAATATATATACATTTCAATAAAAATAAATCAAAATACACAGAAAATGTTTATACTTGAATCTCAAAAATATCCCAACTTCTTGAATATGTAATATAAATTTTAGTAATTTACATTTATAAAATTTAGTGTTTTACATTTATAATTATATTATAATAAATATTACAATTGTATATACTAGCTGGTCGGACCCCGTGTCTATTACAAACTGATTTTTTCTATACTTTTTCCTTGTATATATATATATTTCCTAGCTGTCTGGACCCATAAAATAGGGGTCTTAAACAAATATATTATATGCAAATGTAAAATATCAACTTATATAATGTTTTATACAGGATTGTGTGTAATATAAGAAAACTTTTCTAATAATTACAAGACGTTTTTGCTTAAACTGTTTTGTTTTAAATTTTTGTATTTATGCTATTGAATTTAAAACATATTAACAAGATTGAAAAAATACGAAACATCTTGTTTCATCCAAGTGGAAAACTTGAAACTTTGATTTTAGATTTGCCTCTCTCCTGATAATTTCTGATTTCTAAAATTATGTCATCTTCTTAGTTCCGCCATTTGTATAGCATTACATATAAACATCTATAAGTGTAAACAACTTTAGCATATGTGAGTTTGCAGGCATTATATAGAGCATTATATTGTGTATAATATACATAAATAAAATAAGAAAACTTTAAAATTTTATTTTAACAATTGGAAGTCTTTTTTGGTATATATATATATTGACAAGATTAAAAAAATTTCAAAATTTCTTATGGTAACGGGAGGTCTTGAACCTCCCGAAACAACACTGAAGACAGCACACTTAACCACTGAGCTATCGGTGATATGCATTTAGGAGCAAAACAAAGCTAATTATAAATCTCTTACAAGCTCTACATAAGCGGAAAAGGTGTGCATGTTAATTATTTTGCTCTTAAGGAAATTTTTCAGATTGATTTATTTAACTAAAAAATATTGAATTAAATAAAGAATAGGTGTAGAAATAATCAGTGTAAAATAGATAAGTATAGAAATGGTCAGTTTGGTAAAGACCCCTATTTTATGGGTCGGGAAAGCTAGGATATATATATATATATATATATATATATATATATATATATATATATATATATATATATATATATATATATATATATATATATATATATATATATATATATATATATATATATATATATATACTTCTTAAAAGCAATATTACGAAAAGGCGTAAAGAACATAGTAGGCTCAATACAGATCTCGAAAGTTAAAGCAAATCTCTTAAAAATAAACTATTATTTATTGACTGGCATATTTTAATCAAAAAAATTCAACAAAACACACTAAGAGTTACTACATCTGCAATCAATAATCATGAACAAAAAATTGAAAAAACTAACAAGCAACCAGATATTCCCATTCACAAGTAAAAACGCTATCACAAATTTATCTTCATATAGAATTTCACCTGTAGAAACAGATCTTCTTAAAAATGAATTATCATTTGCTATGCCACCAAAAAAAATTTCAAAAACAGACATCTATTGTGCCTTTGAAATGGTCCATCGATTTACTTCATCCCAACTTAAAGATCCTAACTTTCAAGGACAGCTTAAAATAAATATCTCTCATCTTGCAAACATTTATTACTCATCTTAAAAGCCCTCATTTACAACAATAAAGAAACATGTCATCCTTCAAAAGCTACAAAAAAACAAAAATATTATATTAACTCAACCATGCAAAGGTAATGGCATTATTATATTAGACCGAAATCTTTATCTTGAAAAAATTTATAAAATTGTTAATGATACCACTAAATTCAAAAAGATTCCTAAAGTTCCTACTGTACTCAGAGAAGGCCAACTACAAAGATTCCTTTGCAAAAATAAAAATAAAAATCTATTTAATGCCGAAGAATATAAAATTATCTATCCTACTGGTTCAACAATTGCTAGAATGTATGGAAAACCTAAAATGCATAAATTAACCGCTAATAACATTCCTTCCGTCAGACCCATTGTTTCCTCATTAGGAACATACAACTACAAATTATCTAAATTTTTAAGTAATTTACTTACTCCATACATTCCAATGAATCATTCACCAAAGATAGCTTCACCTTTGTTAATAAACTTGAAGAAGTAAGTGTAGCAAACTCTTACCTAGTCTCTTTTGATGTGGAAAGTGTGTTTACAAATATCCAATTGGATGAAACCATCTCAATTGCTGTAGATTTAATCTTAAAAAATAGACCAAACCTTAATACTTCCAAACTTGAATTAAAAAAACTATTTGAATTTTCAACCATGCAAACGCATTTCCTATTTAACAATGAAATATTTGATCAGATCGATGGAGTTGCCATGGGATCTCCGCTAGGCTCCTGCTTTAGCTAACTTATTTATGAGTTATCACGAAAACATTTGGTTACAAAACAATAACTGCAAAAAAGTAGTTTTATACAAAAGGTATGTAGATCTTTTGTATCTTTGAAAATAACGATGATGCATTCAATTTTCTAGAATATATAAATAAACAACATCCAAATCTAAAATTTACTAAAGAGGAAGAAGTTGATCACAAATTGAACTTTCTTGATTAACTCTGTAAATAGTAAACTTGATACTTCAATGTTTTATAAAAAAACTTACACAAGTTTACAGACTAATTTTACCGGCTTCACTAATATTAATTATAAACTAGAACTCAATAAAACTCTGATTGACAGGGTCTTCAAAATCAACAAAATCAACTGGGTAAGTTTTCATCTAGATATTGTAAAAATTAAACAAACTCTCCAAAAAAACTCTTTCCCCTTGAACTTAATTGACAAAACCTTAAAAATTTTACTAAACAAACTCATCTCTCCTAAAGCAAACATGTCATCTTAAAAACCATCTGATATACATTACTTTCATCTCCCTTACATTGGAAAAATTTAAAATACACCTCCGCACCAATTAAATAAATATATTAAAAAATATTGTAAAGATAAAATAAAAGCAAAACTAGTTTTTACTCCTTTTAAAATAAGTAGTATGTTTTCATCAAAAGACCCCTTACCCTCAAGTTTTAAATCCTTTGTTGTCTATAAATTCGTTTGTTACAGCTGTAATGCTGGATACAATGGTGAAACCACCAGATACTACACAACAAGGGTTTCAGAACACTTAAATTCAGATAAGGCTTCCCATATTTACAAACACCTCAATTCATCACAAAAATGCAAAAATTCAACAAATCCTGATTGCTTTTCCATTGTTGACAGAGCTTCCTCCAAGTATGAACTCAAAATAAGGGAAAGGATCCATATTGAGATGGAAAAACCTCTTCTTAATACACAATTAAAATCATACACTATTACTATAACAATATAATTTCTCAATCATCTTACTTTATATTTCCTATTTTGTTTGTTAATAATAATTTCACACCTTTTGTATAATCTTTTGTAAAATTTCATGGTAATTATTAATTTTATGTAATTATGGTAACTATTGCAAAAAACTATTAAATTTTTAATGTAGCCAAAAAAAATTGTTTATATACAGAAATGATGTCAATTAATATTGATGAAACATTAATTAATAGTTAAAAAGTTTAAAGAAATTGTTATTTATTTGAAAATTATTACTAAAATAGTTCTACTTAGACCATATATATATATATATATATATATATATATATATATATATATATATATATATATATATATATATATATTATATATATATATATATATATATATATATATATATATATATATATATATATATATATTAGGGCTCTGGAAATCGGCATATTTAGTTTCGAATCGAATCTCAAATCGAAGCAGGTCTTAATTCACGAATCGAATTGAATCACGAATCGAATCATTAGTTGAAAGAAATTTAAGTTTTTTATCTTTATTTTTATGTATACTATAAAAAATATCACAAAATTTGAATGTTATTTGAACAAACCCAAATTAACATTTTGTACTTTGCTCAGAAAGACTATTGCGTTTACTGTTGATCACTCCTCCTCCCACAGTTAACTCTTTCAGACGTTAACTCTTTCAGTTCAATCAGACAGTTAACTCTTTCAATTTGTAACTTGAACAGCAAGAAAAGCAGTTGGAACTTTGGATAATAAAGGGAAAATGTTACTTTGTTTTTCCAGTAGAGAATAGAACAATCTGAACGTCCCAACGTTTTCTCTTTGATGTATGCAGTAAATTTAATTGTTAATAATCTAAAGTTCTTTTCTCTGGTAGAGTACGATCTTTAGTGAAATGTTCAAACATTTTATCAAAAATTCAATTTGCTTCAGATGACAAATTTGCTACTTCGAGTTGAATTTCAGCGTGAATCATAGTAATATTTAAATCGTGTTTTTTTTCAGATGTCATTAAATTAGATTTTACGATTTGTATCTCTGCCAAAGTAAACATTTCTGATATAAATTGAGGGTCTAAGAAAGTAGCGGTAAGAACAACATCTTCACTTGATTCAAACCTCATTACCAAACTGCGTAGTAAGATTGTCAACAAATTTACCTATCCCCCTTTTATCCATAATACGTAGATAATTTTTAAAAGTTTTAATGCACGGATAAACTAAACTAATGCTTACGCTTTTTTCCACACTTAGTATAGTAGTGGCTTCAGATACTACATTTAAAATAGGAGTAACTGTTGTTATTAATTGCACTTGTGTTTCAGTTAGACAAGTCGGTGGCACTTTCATACAGTTTTTTTTTTGTGAACACTTAACTAGAGAAATTTTTATAGAACCATGATTATTTTTAAATTCATTCCAATAAGTTATAAGTGCTGTTAAAATGCGTTTTTACATCCATTGGAGGCTTTGACTCAGGTTTTCCTTGAGAAATCTGACAACTTTTTGACAGCTGCCTGTCCAACTGATGATGAGTGAAAAAATCCTACTATTTTATGAGCCTTGCTAATTAATGTAACAAGAATTGGTTGGTTGTGTATATTTCATACAAAGTTGGAGTTTATGAGCATAACAGAATAGCCAATCAATCCCAAGAAGTTTAAGTGTGCATGGTATACTAGGAGTAGTATTGGTTGTAGCACAGAAAATATTATCTGAAGTCAAGTCAAATTTTGACAGCACGTTTCTTAAAATTTCTTTCAGTGGAACAGGTTTTGTGACAAGCATTTATTACTTCCAGATTTACAACTGATAAACAGCAAAATTCTAAAACCCAAGAGGATGAAATAAAGTGACAAGTAGAAACAAGAAAGTTATTGCCATTGTTGGCTTTAAAGTGATCAAAAGTGATGCTAGGTTTGGAGATAAACTGGCTTTTTATACTTTGTTGGAAGTTAATATATAAATCATCAACCATATCACCTAAATTTCAAGATAAAGTGGTCAGGTGTGGTGGATGATATTGCCCTTGAGTAAGCACCGAGCACAGATTTATCAAGCCAGATCTAGAAGTTGTCTCAAATAATATTCCATCTTCAATTATAAATCTAAGCACTGCAGGATTGTAGTTTTTTTTTAAAACTGTATCTATTAGAGGTCAAATAAAATCTGAATTTAACGAGGAACTTGATGATTGCTTGATTGTGTTATCGGAAGAAAAAGCGAAGTCAAACATTAACGACACAAAAAAAAACTTTTGCATTTAAATCCCTAATCGACAATTAATTTTAATGAAAAGTATGTTTATGTTCCATAATTACTCTCCTGCTAATTTTCTGATAACATAAATGTTGATATTTTGAAAACTTTTTAATGCTGTTTATATGAAAACATAAAGTAATTTAAATAAAAAAATGATTTGAAAAACTCAAATCATTTTTTTTGAATCAAATCTTGAATCGAAGCGAAATTTGGTTCCCAAATTGAATCGAAGCGATTCTCAGGGCCCTAATATATATATATATTTATACATATATATATATATATATATATATATATATATATATATATATATATATATATATATATATATATATATATATATATATATATATATATATATATAGGTCTGGACAGGAAGGCGTGCGATCACTCTGTTACTGACCACTTTTCTACGGCTTTTTGATTTTTAACGCAATAAAAAGTGTTATGTTATAAATAACTTTTAATTGTTGATCTTTTCTTAAGTTTTTATTTTACAAATAGGCTTTAAATAAAACTATAAAATTAATTATAATGATTGTTTACATAAACACATGTGTAAATTAATAAAAAATGTTATACTAAATTTTTTTTATGTAGGCATGTACTCAGTGCCGTGCCAGACAGTTGGTAGGCCCCCCCTAAAAAAAAAAAATTTGGGGCCCTTGTAACACGTCAAGCCCGTCCCCCGGTTTAGGAGGGGATAATTTGTTTTTAAAATCACTCCTTCCTCACCGCCCCACCCGCACCCCCTAAGAACTGTCAACCTTTAAAGTTTTATCGATAAAATTAAAAAGTAAGAAGAAAAAAAAAAAATTGGAATTAAATAATAATTTGATGTTTTGTAATTTAACTAAATGCTGTGTCTAGCACAACGGTACTGTTGCTTTAATTTTTGTGCCTAAAGTCACTAATAGTCATTGTGACTATTAATGAACCAATCGGAATTCAGCAAGTAGCGAAATCTGATTGTTTCTTTTTATAGGTTGCAAATATATACTTGTATACTGATATAGGGGTAAACACAATTTAGTGTACACATGTCTACTGACTATCTAGAAATTGGCGAAGTGGAGTGTGTATACATCGACTATCTAAGGATTGGTGTAGTGGAACGTACATACATAGACGGAGGGTTTTGGCCTGGGCAGGCAATCTTTTGAATAAAAGATTGCTTTTTAAATTAAAAATCGACAGCTGTATCTTTGCGCTGCGTAGACTAATTTAGTAATACAAAGCATCTTTTTCATAAGATTTAACTTAAACTAAGCTAAACAAAAACAAAACTTTCTAAACGAAAGTTTTACTAAAATAAAACGTCCACTAACTCAGCAATACAATCAATGGCGGATCCAGGTCACTGATTGGTCCTAATGAAGGATAGTCGGAACAACAACAAAAAAAAAGGGCCCTATTTTTTAGGTTAAACAACTATTTCATTTGATCATTTACAATGTTTATATATTAGCAAATATATACAGTACAATCTCTCTAATTCAAACAAAAATGGGGAAAATAAAAAATCGAATTAGAGTGATTTTAGAATTACAGAAAGTTTTTTTCACATAAGGGTATTTCACGGTGACTTTGCATTTAATCGATTTATGGAGGTTTTCAAATTAAGGAGATTCGAATTAGAGAGATTATACGGTATATATATTAAATGTGTGTATAACTTTAAAACAGCATTTTTTTAATTTTCCTTTTTTTTTTTAATTTTTATTAATAAAAATGTAAAGTTTGATAGTTCTTTGGGGGCTAATCCTCACCCCCTCCTTTGTATTCGCCAGTCAATACAATCATCATTGTATGCATGTCAATACATGCATCATTTTGTTAGGTTTACCGAATTTGAAAAAATAAGCAAACGTTAATATGAAGTTTTAATATTATAAATAAATAAAAAACACCTATATCATAATTTTAATTTTCAAAAGGATTCCCTTCAAATTCCTAGGCCCCCCCCAACCCACGTGCCAAAAGCCCTTCAAACCACAGGGGGGTTTGGGGGGCTTTTGGCACGGCACTGCATGTACTTTTTATAATAAATTTATTTATTAAAACTATTTACCATGTCTTCCTAAAAATCTTTTAATAATTATTTTTAGAAATAATTTTTTTTAAGTTATTTTATTTATGAATAAGTTCAAAAACTTTTGTGACTACTAACTTTTACACATTTTATGTGAATTATACAAGAATATAAAATAACTTTATTTACTTACATATACTTATATAAACAAGCGCATTTTATTTTAATTTTTCATCTTTTTAAGAATAAAAAACTTGAAAACCTTTTTTTAATTAGACTTACTAATTAGAGCATGAAATTATTAAAATTATTATTTTAAAGACAACGTTATTTTTTAAAACAATTATTTATTTTTTCGCAACTTTTTTGAAAAAATAAATGTTTATACAATTTTAAAATATTATATGCAACACTTTTAAAATATTATATGCAACAATTTTAAAATATTATATGCAACACTTTTTAACAAATTTGATAAAATTTGTTCATTTATAAAACAATCATCTTGTTACTTAATTTAAAACGTTTAATAACATTTATAAAAGATTTAATAACATTTATAAAAACGTAATTAAAAATGTAACAGAATGTTTCGCTTTGAGTTTGTTTTTATTTTTATTTTAGTGCTTATATAATTTCTTTATCGCAAGGAATTTTTTTTTTTGTTTCTTTTTTCGTTAGGATTTTTTTTATGTTAATTTTTTTTCTAGTTTAAGTTTAGCTAAGCCTTTCTACATTCAGCGCATTTCTGAAATGCTTAAATCATCAAAACATATAAATAATCATGGTCAATTTGTCAAAAAATACAATTATTTGCGTGGTCAGCAATAGAGCTCAATCACACATCATTCCTTTGGTGTGGAATAGACTTACAAAGACCAGTATTTTTATGGGTCTGGTCAGCTACAATTTATTTTTCGTTTAAACATTTAGCATATATATGCATAAAATGTTCTCAATACTTGTTTGGAATCCATAAAACTATAAAACAGCTCTAACTAGGTGGTTTAATTAACTTCTTGTTGACAAAACTAGTAACATCTATAACATCAACACTGCATTAAAAAATATATATATCAAATCAGCAATTGATACAAAGTTAATAAAATTAAAAATAAAAATGATATATACCACAACATGAAATGCTAACATTGATAAATCTTCTTTTACATACAAACTTATTTCTCCACCACTGATGGGTAAAGAACCATTTTGAACTTGGACATTTTGACCTAAATCAAAAACAGCCCTATTGGCATTTTGACGAATTGTAAAGTGATTACTCCATTCCAAATCGGCTGAAAAAGTTTTATAGCCTTCAACCTGTATGTTCAGATGAGCTGAAGTTTTAGAATGATAGCATTTATTCAATGTTATTTCAGCTGTCATCCTAACAGCTTTTTCATTTGACGTGACATTAACAGTACAATTCTGTTTATTAACATCTAATTTGGTGCATTCTGCTAAAAATATATATTACATAAAATCCTAAAAAGATATATTAACAATGTATTTATTTATCAAAAATTATATAAATATATACAAGATAACAATAAAATATAATAAGTGAAATAAAAAAATTTGAAATATATGAAATACAAAATATATGAAATTCAAATTATATAATTTACAAAATATTGTCACATAAATACTATGTTATTTACAACTAACATTATTAAATAATAAATACATTATTTAAAATAAATAATAAACAAAATTATTAAAAAATAAATAAACTAATCTATTCTAAATAAACTTAAAAAAACTCACACTCTGGACATATAAGACCATAAGTAGTATAGTATGAATCATCAATAATATTAACAGCTTTAGTAGGTTGATTTTTACAGCTATAAGTAAGCACTGTATGTTGCTTTTCATGAGAAAATCCATGGCTGTGAAACATGGTTAGTTTAACACCACACTCATCCCCTCCAATCCCACCAGAAGCTAAACATGATATGATTAAAAAAAAGTCCACAAAAAAAAAAAAAAAAAAAAAAAAAAAAAAAAAAAAAAAAAATCTTTTGATTATTACAATTTTAAAATTCTTCGATAATTCTTTTAATTTTATCATTTTAAAGTTAAAACATTAATTATATTGATACATAAAAAACATGTTTCATTTTTATATAAATATATAATAAAATATTACCTTTCATAGGTATCAACACATCTTTCTTTGTAGTGAAAGTTTTCATAATCTCAACATGGTGCAGAGTATTAATAGCCAAAACGTTGACACTATAAGGAACTGAGCAAATGTCAAGAACCACTAGAAAAATTCCTTTTGAAGAATGGTAACATAGTGTAGAAAAATCACCTAAGCGCATTGACTTTTCACAAAAGGTTTGGCTAACAAATCCTTGATCTAACTTTATTGTTCCTTCCGCTAAAATAAAAAAAATAAAAAATAATATCTAATATTATTACTCATTATTAACTTTGAATGAATACAAAATAAAAGTTTATGCACATATTTTTAATAATTTTCTAAATTACACATTGTTGTAGTTTTTGATTGTAATAGTAAGCTATTTTTAACTTGCGCAGAAAAAAAAGTCAAGCCCAGTACAAAATAATGCATGATGGAGATTGAATTCAAAATTTCTTGTTGAGCAAATGCTTTACCATTGCCTCCAACCCTTTTTTTTACCTCCTATCATTTTGAAAAACTAATAAAATTTTTGCACATAAAAAAATAATTTCAAAAAAATTTTTATTTTATATTATATTATATTCAATTTGAAGTTTTCTTATTTTGTTTATAATTCCTTTTTAATTTTAGTTATATTAAATATTTATATTATTCATACTGCCTTTCCAACTTAAGTTATTCAAAATATACAAATTTTTTATGCCAGTAAGGGGAAAACATTAAATTCTCAATGTTGTATTTGTTTTTATATTTGATACATTAATCAATTAAATTTGATACATTAATCACATTCTTTTCTTCGGTTTTGTTTTGACATTAACAAAATAGGTCTTGTAACTCTAGGTAATCATAGATTTTATATAATATTGAAAATTTGGAAATAACAAACCTTAAATCATATATAAATTTTTATTAAATGTATTGATAGCTTGCTTTGTAAAAAAGAAGTAACAAGTTCGATCCTTACCACACCCCTAGTAGTACTGTGCTCACCTTGTTCATCAAAGTTTGCGTTTTGGAGTTGAAGAGTTGAGAGAGGGTCGCATTCACAAAAAAAGAAAGAAAAACAAAAATAAATAAAATAAACTAGCCTCGCAAACTTGGCCTCAGGCACTTTTTTTTTTAATTTCTCCTTGATCCAAATAGTTTTTTTATATTAGTTAAAACTTTTTAATGAATGGAATTAATAAGAATTAGCTGATTAAAGATATTTATTTTATGAATGAAATAGCATGACATGTTATTATTATAGTATTAAGTTTTATTTACTTTTGTTTTAACTTTATTTATTTGTTTTAATTAGTTTTAGTTGATGCTTATAATAAGAACAGGTAAGACATTTTAACAATAGTGAAGGCAGTTTACCTATAGAAAATTTTGATATAAAACCCCTAATTTAATTGTGGTTTAAGGTAGCGGAGCCCTTAAACCTTGGTACATAGTGGTAGTATTACAATAAAATTTGCAAAATAAGTTAACGCTAGGAAAGACATTCAGTTGTAAAAAATTGGTTTCACTCATTTGTTTTTGTCTTTCTTACTTTTTCTTATTTACTCAAATAAGAAAATGGCAATACTTAACATGACAAATGTAGGAAATTAAACCATTGCGGTTAAAAATGAACAAAACAAAACAAAAATTCAAAAATTCTTAGAACTTTAATCAGGACTAAGAAAAAAGATAAAATGAAATGGGTGAAAAATCTTGCAACTTTTGTCTAACTTAAAAAAAAAAGAATAAAAAATATGAAAGTAGCAGATTTAAAAAGAATCAATAAAGAAATTATAAATATTAAATGTTTTGAATATGTCAATAAATCTAACTACTAATTCTGCAAAATTCGATCATGCTTTTACAAAATAATTATAATTATTTTCATTCAAAATTCACCATACTCACCAGTCTCATTCAATCTTTCTCTAATTTCATATTCCAAACAATGTTAAGTATATTCCAACCAAAGTTTTTTTGAATTTATTTTCACAGGCAAAAAAAAAAAAAAACATTTTAAAAAAATAATTTAGCTTCAGTTTAAATTTTAGATTTTGAGTATTATGAGAAATCTTTAACATTCTTAGGCTATTCCTTGGCTTTAAAAAAAAGTTTATAATTATTTTGTTATTAATTTTCACAACTACAATGGGCATAGCAGTGTTTTTGTTTCCTAATTATAAAGAGTACATAATTTGTCAAAGAAGTACCCTAAATAACTTAAACTAATTTCTGTGTTTCCTGAGAACAATACGCTTTTATTTATGCATCTTATGTTTCTTAATTTTTCCATATTTCATGTTGCTTATAAAAAAAAAATTTTATAAAAAAATTTTAAAGAACTTAAAAATAAAAAGTTATAAAAAACTTTCTCACAAGTACAAACAAGCAAACAAACAAAAAATTATAATGGACTACTGTTAAAACCCAACTGATGCATTTTAGTAACTTTATGGGATTAGTTTTTTAGATTTTAAAAGTAATAGGCATATTTTTTTACATTTTACAATGGCAAAGCAATAACACAAAATCTATATGAAAGAAACGAAAGGATAGAAACTGAAAAAAAAAAAAAAAAAAAAAAAAAAAAAAAAAAAAAAAAAAACAGGCATAAAATTAATAAGCTACATAAAAAAATCTTTAACTAAACATCTATATTTGAAAAGTTTTTAGACATTAATTTGATAAGGTTTGCCAGAAATTTTTTGCAGAAATATTCATCTTTAAAACATTAAAACTTACTTTTATCTAAGTTGTCTCCAAGCATACTTTCTTGGCATTTTGAAGGATGCATAGGAATGTAAGCTTCAAAAATGTTTTCAAAATCAGTGGAAATTCTCTTACCAATCTTGTCTAGTAATACAGCTCGAATCTAAATAATTATATTTTAAGGTTTTTTTTTTAATTTTTCTGGTTTTTTAAGTCTTTAAAACTATGGAATACAAATTATACAAAATACAAAATACAAAAGTTAAAAATAAAAATAGTTTAAAATAAAAGATGATAAACTAATTGTATATGATTTATAATTAATTGTGTTAATTATTTGTGTAAAAATTAAATTAAATTTTTATTACTACACTAAAAATGTTTTAACTTACTAAATTAATTTTAATGAACAATAAGCAGTTGTTTTTTTATTGACCAGTGGCCAATGATTGGTTTAGACAATTATTGATAAAAAACAACTTATTTAATAAAGTTGTTTACTATCATTTTCTGCATTTCATTATTTTATCACTTTTCTACATTAAACATTTCACAACATGTTTTATATTATGGAGCATTTATTATTATGTTGTTTTTTTTAGAATTTGAGATATAGTTTCTTTGTTCATAACAAGTAAAATTTAATAAACAGGGGGAGGGAGTCTTACTAAGCTCAGGGTGGATGGGAAAATTTTCAGAAAATTATTAAACATCATCTTATGTGCATTAAGCACTTAAAAGACCACCTTTTTTTCCTTTGATTTTCATAATTTATGTTTTATAAGTAACAAATTTAAGTAAATTTGACCATTTTTTTTTTCTGTTTAAAAAAAGATCACTCTCTAATCTTTGTAACAAAGACAACATCTACAAAAAAAAATCAAGCTACATTAACATTTTTATAATTAAACTTGCCCCAGTAAAATTGCAATAAAGGCTAAAATTATGTGTTTTATTTTTAATATTTTAGGTGGCTTTATTGGATTCCTTGCCTCCAAATATTTAAGTCTACATATTTTCAGTTTTCCATTGCACACAGAACAAAAACAATGACTAAAACCATTATTTAAAATGGCAGATTTTTGTTGGTTCATGGTAAGTTTAAATACTTAAATCTTTGAAACTGTTTGAAACTTTGATAAAATTTTGGGGATGTACATAAATTACTAAAATCTTTGAGTTGTGTAAAAATCTGCAAAATATGAGAACCCTGTATGTTTTCATATGGAATTGTCCAACCAATAATGAAATACATGTATTTATATTTTTCTTATTTTAACTTTTTTATAAACAGACATTTAAAATTTTGGCTAACACTGTTTACTAAAATATTTAAAAACTGTTAAAAAGTGGTGAATTAAAAGAAAATTAAAAAATTGAATTGAAATCTCAGATTTTAGAGAAATATAAAAATAAACTCTTTACAAATATCTTTTAAAATTTAAATTTTAAAAGACATAGGGAAATTGGTAGAGATCAAACATATTTTTATAAGAAAATAATGAAGTTAGAAGGGAATTAGTTGCTAAAATTGTTCAAAATGATGTTTCCCAGAAAAAGATGATTAGAGAAAGCCTATTAAGAAGAAGCCTCAATAATAATAACTATTAGACAAAAGCCTGTATTGGGTATCAGATACTTGCCAGCATTTAATGGTTAGTAAACCAGATGTTTCCATAAATGTGAAAAATAAACAAATAAAGATATTTAAAGTTTTATTTAACAAAGAATTTGTAGATACAATAGTACAGAGGATCAAAAGATATGCAGAAAAATGCAAAATAGGTAAAGAACACATCTAAACCACACAACTTTCAAGAAAGATACAACACCTAACAACATTTAAATGTACTTTACTAATCTACTTTGGCTTATTGTAGAAACTAAAATACAACTGGAATTATTCAAAAAATTTATATATTGCTGCACGTATATTTAGATGCCATATGTCTACACTTTGATGACAATAAAGAATTAGACGAGGATTGCATTATTACTCTTCAAAATAGTTTCTAATATATTTAATAGAGCCTTCAAGCATCACATCATACCATCATATACTCCATATATATTATATGCACCATCATATACATCGTACATATCATATGTATCATCTTATACACCGTACATATCATATGCACCATGATTTCTTTCCAATCTTGCTCCCAAAGTTTTTTATTACACAAAATGATGGATATGTTGAATTACAAAAATATCTGTACTAATATTTAAAAATATTATTTATTAAACTATTGACATTTATTGTTTCTTACTTTAGGTCAAGTTAAGATATTAAAGAGCAGCCTCTTATCAAAATAAAAAAAAACTCCTAAGAGGCGGCTCAAAACATATCTGCAGAAGTAAATGTATAAAATTATGAAAGAAATTATGATTAGAATGTTATGCTTTAACACAAACTATTTGTGACACAAAAAACTTGTCATATGGATATTTATTTTAAGAAACAATTTTTATCCATTCACAACATTTGGAAAATATTTTATTTGTATTGAACCTACCTTTACATGCAATCTATCTTTATACACAATATCAGAAGAGAGAGATTGCATTTCAAGCAATATTGCAGTTGAGCTATTTCCTGAAAAAAGATTCTTTTATTATTAATACTATAATTAGTTGCTCTTTTGCGCAGAAGGAAAACGACTATATTGTGTGTGAATCTTAGCTATATAAAAAAATTGTCTCAAACTTTTTAATAGTAAAGTAAAAATTCGCAACAGAAATTATCAACTATCAATTATTCATTGATTCAAAATTTAAATAAAAATTGATAAAACATATAATTAATTAAACATGCTTTATTTGTCACAGATCACTAAGTAACATTTTTGAAATGAGAAAAACTTATTTAAACCAAAAGAAAAAAAGAAGAAACAAACTTTTTTAGAGTTTCCTGATACAAATATAGATCATTTGGATCAGGAAAAATTTGTAAAACATTCATTTTGAAAAAAATAAAAATAAACAAAAAACAAGCAGACAATTTCTTACATACCCTACTCTTTATGATCAAAAAAGTCTAAATACTCATTAAGTTGCATTGAAATTGTAGGAGACTTTAAAATTGCAATCCACATACAGTTTCTTCTAAAGGTATTTCCACATACAGTTTCTTTTAAAGGTATTGGGTTAGTTGGATTTGCAAGTCATAATCAAAATTATTCAAAAATATTTTTTGTTGATTAAACAGAAAAATATTTTTTAGGAATACTTAGTGTGATTGGTATTAAATACTTCAGTACAAAAAATTGACAAAAACCTAAGATGTGTACCTTAAAAGGTCTACAAAAATCTTGTTTGGGCAGATATAAAAAACTAATTTTTAGTTTAATAATAAATAAAATAAATTTTGATTTAAAATGTTATGATTATTAAAAAAAAAAAGATTATGAAAAAGTACCTATTCTAACAGGATCTATATTTTTATCTGTCTTTATATTATAAAAAAACGAAGAAGAACCAGTCCTCATAATTGTAAATGAAACAAATGATTTTGAAACACATGGTTTTGCAGATAATACAATAATAGTACTGTTAAATGTTGTACAGACATAATCAAACACAGATATTGAGCCACAAAAGCTGTCTACTTGATGCAGCAAAAAATCTGAAAAAAGATTAAAAAAAAAGAATAATATTAAAATTTTAAAGAAATTTTACTTGTATTATTTTCAACTTTATTTAAAACTATTATATAAGCTAGTGATCAAGCAAACTTAAGTTATTCAACATTTATTCAAAACTTTAAAGAATGATATAAGATCACAATTTTACAAAATGATATGAGATCACAATGTTAAATGTAAACTTCTCATCTCTTAATATTTTTAAACTCAAAGTCTGCATTACAAACTTATCTAATTAAATGAGTTTAGTCTAAAAAGTTATGCCATTTGAGACAAAAACATATGACCATTTTGGAGACAATCAAGAAGGCTAGTAATATAATTTATTACTACTTTTTTAATTACACAAAAATTTAAAACATGAACCTTAAAACAAAGTGAGCACAGTATTACCAGAAATCTATTGGCAATCAAACTTAGTACTTTTTGAATGAAATCACCAAAACTCTAATGAAAGAGATTTTAAAAATTGGAAAACGTTGTTTGTTTGTTTTTTTAGAATTGTCTTAAGAATTTTAATAGCTTGCTCAACATTTATAATATTACTTTAATAGCTCAACATTTATAACATTGCTGTAGAAAAGTGTTAGAAACTATGTGTTTAATTACATAGAGTTTCTAAGATTTAGAATTAGAAACAAAACAAAACAAGAAATATCTAAAGAAAAAAACACAAATCTGTTATTTAAATTAAGTTTATGAAACAACATTTCTAAAATGGGTTCTATTAAAAATTAGGATGTCTAGTTTTTTAACATGTTCTTTTATTGTTGCTTAACAATAGAAGAACATGTTGAAAAAGAACATACTAAAAAAATAATGTAGTTAAAGAACTTGAATTAATAAAAATTTGCATTTTTATATGAATAAATGTGTTTTCATTTGTATTTTTTGACACAACATCAATAAAAACATAAAACAATACAAGCAACAACTAAAAATATAAAAAGTTCATGATTCAAGTAATTACATAATAAGACTTGGTTTATATACTGAAAGTTTAAATTATCAACCTTAAAACTTACAGAAATAGCAGTAACACACAAAAATCCACATTGCTAGAAATTTATTGATCTTATTTGTTGGCTAAAATGATTTCTTTCTGGATGGTTTTATCATCCTTTCAAACTCTTTCAAATAAATCATTGAAAATTCAAAGTGACAATCCTGAAAAAACATTCAAAACATAAAATATTGCTCAAGTATTTTTATATATATACATGCACACATACACACACACAGATAACACAGATATATGTATGTATATGTATATATATATAAATGTATATATATATATATATATATATATATATATATATATATATATATATATATATATATATATATATATATATATACACACACATATATATATATATATACACATATATATATATATATATATATATATATATATATATATATATATATATACATATACACACACACACACACACACACACACACACACACACACACACACACACACATATATATATATATATATATAAATATATATATATATATATAAATATATATATATATATATATAAATAAATATATATATATATATACGTATATATATATATATATATATATATATATATATATATATATATATATATATATATATATATATATATATATATATAAAGTGACTGGGGTTGATATTTGACCGGGGCCAGGTTTGTGACCGGGGCTGCGTAAACATTTTTACATCCTAAAGTATATTTTTTTAATTCAAAATTTATGTTATATTTTGCATATATAACAAACAAATTTGTTTATATTAATAAAAAGTATGCATAAAACACATCTTGGAAACTTTTATTCCTACTAGAATAAAAGTTTATAAGCTTTTATTCTTAAATTTTAAGCCTCATTTTACTTCACATTTTTCAACATCTTGAGCACTTGCTTTATTCAACAGTAACCATTTTTTTCATATTTTTACAAAAACATATGCTGATTATATGATAATATTTGATGTACAACATCAAGTAATCTCACTAGAACATCTCTATTAAGTACAAATGTCCTCTTATTATTGCAAGAAACTAATGTAAAAAAAGTTCTGTCGGATGTTAAGTTCTGTTATTCTCAAATCTTCAGTTATACGTTTCCTTGAACTTTAACATACTCTTTATTTCAAAGTAACTCATAACTTAATAGTGGTTGCTTGCAATCTTGTTGGAAGTAAATTAGAGTTTAAAAATATATAAATCTATGCCAGTTTGTAATAAGTCTCATTTTTAGCCGGGGCCCTAGCTCCAGTCACTTACTATATATACATACATACATATATATATATATATATATATATATATATATATATATATATATATATATATATATATATATATATATATATATATATATATTTAATTGTTGATAGGTAAAAATACAGCTCTTGTCTGCTTAAGTGTGATCAATATTTCTTTGTAAAATAGATCAAATTATATTTATATAATTTAAATGAAAAAAATACAACTTTTTATGGAACTATTAGTTTCATGCCATTCGGCAATCATTCAGCCATATTATTCAAAATTTACAAAATAAAAAACCGTTAAAAAATACAATTTTTTAGCGTTGCAATGGTATCTGACGTCAAGTTTATGTCAGACAATATCATGGGTTCCTAATCTCTGGTATCAAATTGTGAAAGCAGAATTTTTTTTCTATGCCTACAGGAAGAAACCAACTCACTTTTTTTATTAAGTAATGATCCTTGATCATAAGTTACAATAAAATATTTTTCATATAAACAAATATTACTCTTTTAGTTGATTGATTATATGATTGACACTTTTTATTAATGTTCCACTTGATTAACGGCATAATGCCTGCATTTTTATTTTTCCATATTTCTTTAGAAAGTTCTGTATTGTTTTCGTATCTAGTAGCGTTAAATGATTTTAAATGGTTTGCAAACCTAAGCTTGAATGAGCCTTCACTGATACCAATATAAGATTTTTTGGAATTACTAGGGCTAGCTAAAGATATAGTGGCTTTATACACGACATTTTTAGGTAAGCATTGATTATTTAAAGGGCATGAAGGTTTATTAATACAGTTGCAGTTGGTGACACAAGCAGTGGGTTTGTTGCGTAATATTTTTTGGTTGTGTGAATTAATTATTGATCCAACACTCAGCATGCAGCTGTAACTAATTTTGATTGTATTTCTGTTAAATATCTTGTGGAACTTAAGGTGGGGAGGAAAATGCAAGTCGAATAACTTAAGAAAAAGGTGTTCTATTTTGGTGACAAAGTTTTTGCTGAACGGAGGATTAAACCATATGTTTCTCTTTTGCTTATTAGTATTATTTTGGCCTACATATGGATGGTATTGTATGTTGTTTCTAAACCCAGACTTTTCTAATGCATTATAAATAGGGGCAGTATTATTAAAAAATTGCTTCGCTGGAAGAATTGGTTGATAACCTACGCTCAATTGAAGTTGGTAACTGTTTTAAAATATTATTATAAATATAATTTGGAGGGTGTTATTTTTTAACTGCATTGTTCTTCGCTAATAAAAATCTGGAAAAGAAGTTTCCAATAAACTGTTCTTTATTGATATTAGGACTTAAAATCACTAGTGCTAAGCGCTCAACATTTATATTTGCACCATAAAAATACTGTTTTATTATTTTTGTATAAAAATGAAAACAAAGCAGTTTTCCCTTGGCTATTTCAATATAATATTCTTTAATTTAAACTATAATAACTAATCACATCACTTGAATGAACATTTGCAGATGCAACAGAAATACCAAAGTCCTTTAGATTTCCACCTGCTGAGTTAATGACATCAGCCAATGTAGCGATATGTGCTGCACTCTGAATACCGTATCTCTTTTCTGTAACAGCAGTGGCCTTTAAGATTTTCCTAGGTAGGATAACTTCAACAAAATATGGTTTTCTTTTATAAGATCTTGGTTTGCTTTACTTTTGATATTAAAAATCTTGATTATCCTCTTTGTAACTTAATTTTACACTGCAATGGCTAACCTGATTTAAATTTAAATTGGTAATAAATTTAGAAGCTAATTATTTACTTTTTGAAGTAGTCATTCTCTTATTGGTAGATTCGATCTCGTTTTGCTTTCTATGAGCTACAAGTAAGTACTTCTAGTCTATTCCAACCATCCCAGTTTTACGTCCTTGTTGATCAATCAATAAATTTATATCAATATTTCTTTCCTTTTTAATCATTTGTTTGTTTGATAAAATATTTTGCTTTTATGTTGGTGTATTCACACAAATATCAAATAAGCACTTTATTTCACATTTGAAGATATCTATTTTTCTTAATATTTGTGGTGTGTCATGTCATTCGTTCTTAAAAAGCTTCTTTCTTTGATCTTCCAACACAATATCTTACTTCTATATAAAGAAAACAACATTTTATTCTTACAGTAAGATTCTTAGAATAAGGTAACAATATTCTTATTATATATTTGTAACTATATAATATATAATTACAAATATATAATAAATTCTCTTCCAGATTTTCTTGAATGAAAAAACAACACATGTGCATTTAAGAAAAGAACACCCTCCAGGGTTATTGCAACCAATTTCAAAATTCCCATGTGAAAATTTGCAAGAAACCTTATCACAGAGTCTATATTTTAAATGTTCTTTTCTTGCTTTGAATAGTTTGCCATGTAAATATTGCAGAACTTGCTCTCCAGTAGGCAATTAAGATGATGGTGGTATTTCAATAATATCATTTATCAAAAAAACTTTACATTTTGATCTTGTATCTTTTCCCATAATTATCATAACTAAAATTATTCAACAATTTTTCCATGCAAAAAAATTAAATACTGCTTAAGACATCTAAAATAATTGCGATCTTAGTAAAATAAACAAACCGGTTAATAAAAAATGTTGTAAAACCCGGTTAATTTTTAAGGAAACCGGGTCAAACCTCTGGGTTCAAAATTCTTGAGCAGAGTCTTAGTCTTATTCAATTATCATAAAGTTAGGCTTAAAATGATCATATGAACATTAAAAATAAATTAAAAAACAGTACCTTTGAGATTTTTATTTTGAAGGTTATCTTACCGGTCATTATATTAATTTTTAAAGGTCAAAATTTGATATTTGAGCCCATTGAGCGGGGTCCAAAATTTGTGCAAATGAGTTAAACTTTGGTTTTTATTGATCACAGAGTACACCCACACCACATGAAAACAGTGCCTTTTGATTTTCAAAAATGAGGGACGTTTAGCCTACCCTAATATATATACATATATATTTATAAATAAATATATATATCAACCCCCGGAATTTGGGTCGACATTCGGCAATGCCGACCTCAATGTGTTTGTGGTCAGCAAAAAAAAATCGGTTTTACCGACCTCGTTTTGATGTTTTATGGTAAGACCATTGCAGTTGTCGACCTCTAAAAGATTGAGGTCGGCAAATTATTGCCGACCTCAATTTTCCTAATTCCGACGGTTGTGTATATATATATATATATATATATATATATATATATATATATATATATATATATATATATATATATATATATATATCCTTATAGTGTAGTCGAACAAGTCGTTTAATGTAAAAAAAGTCTCTTTCGACTACAATTATAATTACCTCGTCTCTTAAGCTGTTTTTGATTGTCATCGATATGTCAAAGCAATTAAATTTATGCGGAAGTACATTAAATTTAATTGTTTTTTAAAAAATTTTTAAAAAACCGCAATTATAACGACTAGAAAGTTTTTTTTAATTAGTGATGTTTTTGTTTTTGTTTTAATAAAAAACATTTTTAAAACATGCGTAAATGTTGCTACATCGACTGACAAATAGCCTGACTCGCAACGGAGTGCTGCTACATCGACTGACAAATAGCCTGACTCGCAACGGAGTGCTGCTACATCGACTGACAAATAGCCTGACCTGCAAGGGAGTGCTGCTACATCGACTGACAAATAGCCTGACTCGCAAGGGAGTGCTGCTACAACGACTGACAAATAGCCTGACTCGCAAGGGAGTGCTGCTACATCGACTAAGGGTTTGGTTTGGACAGGCAATCAATCATTTAAAAAAAAAAAAAAACTTAAGTTTTTAAACTTTTTCTGGTCTGGTTTATTAACGCGCTCTTTAAAACTACAGTTTATGGGAAACTCTTTTTCACTA